AATAGTTTATATAAAGTTTCTAAACGTTTTTGAGGTATAGCCATCAATTTCAAGAATAATCAAATATATCTTGTATTTAAACATGAAATCAAATCTTCTATAAAAACAATAGCTTTTATTAAGACAACAAAAATAATCTCAGCCTAATGTAATCAATCGTTAGCGCACAAGGCTAGGGCGCCTGTTGGAATTATATTTCACTTCTAAAAGGGTTTGTCTCGCTCATACGTCGTTTCATGTCCTCGGGTGTTATGTGTTTCTCCTGGTATACCTCTCCTTTTATTATAGCCCCAGACAAAGAAGTAGAGAGGCGTCAGATCCGGGGATCGCGCTTTAAAACTGACCGGACCGCATCTCCTTTTCCAATTATTATTAGAGCCCCAGATGGTCAGATACGGTTCTGCGATTAGCTAGATTTTATTACACATCAGTGATATATGGTCCTTCGAGTTATTCATAATAGAGATCGTGTTGACATGTTGCTGGAACAACGTGGTTGTGAAAAAATACTGGACCTGAGATCAAACATCTGGGAATCAACAGAGCTACTTGGAATGTATTACAACAATTTCATACTGAATGACTGTCTTGGGTTAAGATGATTCTGGTTGTAAGTTTAAATGTGGAATATATATTTTTTCTTTGAATTAATACTAATACGAGGGATGTCTTTTAAGTTTTGCATATGGAAATAAAACAACAAGGTAAGTAGTTTTAAATGACTTTATTGTTTTTCGAAGTATTCTCCACGAAGATTAATACACATCTGCATGCGCCCGAACCCATTTTCGAAGCACTTATTCGACTCGTTTGCTGGCAGATCCAAAACGGCATTTTTGAATGCGTCAACTTCTTCTTCTGATGACTGGAACCTTTGACCACGCAGTCTGTTTTTTTAATTTTCGGGAAAGTAAAGAAAACGTTAGGACTTAGATAGGGACTATATGGAGGATGGTCCAATAATTCCACGTTTTCTTCCGTTAAATACTGCCTTGTTTTTTGGGCTGTGTGCGAGCTTGCATTGTCTTGGTGGAGGATGATTCTTCTTTCGGGGTTGATTTTTCGAAGCTCGGTGATAACTTTTGGCAAACAAATGGTGGTATACCAATCCGCAGTAACAGCTCTTTGCTCATTAACAGGAATTGTTACAATATGACCCGCTCGTACGAGGGATGTCTTTTAAGTTTTGCATATAGAAACATTAGTAGGACGCGCGGATCGAACGCAGTACTGAATCTTAACCTCACTCTTTAGTAAACTTAAATTCAAAGTTTCACAACAATAAGTGTAGTGTTCTCACTACAGTGAATTTTTAAGTGTCACCAAGTCATTAGAAAAATGGAACTCAACCAAGAACATTTTTGCGCCATAATTTATTACAACTTTCAGAGACAATTATCGCAACAAGAATGCCTTGCTGAGTTACTGTCTGTTTTCGTCGACGAAGCGCCACATCAGTCATTAATTTCTCGTTGGTATGAAGAATTCAAACGTGGACGAGTGAGTCTTACCGACGATCCCAGGGTGAGTGCACCAAAAACGGCAGTCACCCAGGAAAACGTCGATGCTGTACGCAAACACATCATTGAAGATAGACATGTGACATATCGCGAGATTGAGGCGTCCTTGAAGATCTCAAAGTCCTCAATTCAAAAAATTTACATGAAGAATTAGGAGTAAGAAAATTAGTTTCTCGTTGGATACCCCACCTGTTGACTGAAGAGCAGAAAGCAGCCAGGGTTAATTGGTGTCAAAAAACGCTTGACCGTTTCAATTCCGGAAACTCAAGAAATGTGTACAGCATTGTTAGTGGTGACGGATCGTGGATTTACTGTTATGAACCAGAAAATAAACGACAGTCGGCTGTTTCGGTGTTCCAAGGTGAAGAAAAGCCAACAAAAGTCATCCGTTCTCGAAGTGTTTCGAAAAAGATGGTCGCGACATTTGTGTCAAAAGCGGGTCATATTGCAACAATTCCTCTTAATGAGCAAATAAATGTTACTGCGGAAAAGTCATCACCAAGCTTCGAAAAATCAACCCCGGAAGAAGAATCATCCTCCACCATGACAATGCAAGCTCGCACACAGCCCAAAAAACAAGTCAGTATTTAACGGAAGAAAACGTGGAATTATTGGACCATCCTCCATATAGTCCCGATCTAAATCCTAGCGATTTCTTTACTTCCCCGAAAATTAAAAACAGACTGCGTGGTCAAAGGTTCGTCACCAGAAGAAGCAGTTGACGCATTCAAAAATGCCATTTTGGATCTGCCAGCAAACGAGTGGAATAGGTGCTTCGAAAATTGGTTCGAGCGCATGCAGATGTGCATTAACCTTCGTGGAGAATACTTCGAAACACAATAAAGTCATTTAAAACTACCTACCGTGTTGTTTTAATTCCACATGCAAAACTTAAATGACATCCCTCGTAACCCGAAACTGTTCTGAAAAAGTGGCATAAGCCTTATATAAAAAAATCACAAGGAAAGCTATTTAATGACGTATACAGAGTGTTCCATTTTTAATTTATGAGAAAAGGTACATTTTACGTTTTGAGATACCCTGTATAAATAGGAGGATATTTTAGCAAGTCTTTCAGATCAGCTTAAAATCGATGATAATAAAAATTTTGTGAACTAAAACTTCTCTCAATATATTCAAAAGCGGCGGAGCTGCGAGCCCTTAAGTTGTTAGGCATTTTTTCAGACATTTCACTAAATATCTAAAGAACCGATAATAGTGGAAACTGTTATGTGATATCAAACTTCTTGTTTTTAGAAGCTCTATCTAAATATGCAATAAAATATAGGGTATTAAAAAAATACGTGTTTGCTATAGCACAAAGTTATGGAATATCCTGTACATATTAAAATAATTTTAAAATACGCATTATTAACGTATCAACTACTTTATATTTTCGTTACGATACCCTGTATATGGAATATGACCACCGGCCAATGAAAATTCGTATAGTAATAGTTCGTGTTGTGCTGATCACATGGTTCAAGGGCGCAAAGCCCAGAAATGCTTTTTGTTGGAAATATTTAGATGGTGTTAAGGTTTGATGCCATAGCTACTTTAAGTAGGCTTGTCTTATTGAAATAATTTGTAAAAACACACCTATAGTCGTTGTTTTCAAATAACTTTCATAGTCCTTCTTTACACCTACTTTCCATTTTCGTTGGCATATATATATATATATATATATATATATATATATATATATATATATATATATATATATCTCTTATGTGTTCATGTGATTTTTATTTTGTGGTCAAGTTTTCAATAAAGACGAGTTATTTTTCGTAAAATGGTGCAAGCAGCCGTCACCGACCTTTCTGAAGACCGGTTATGTTCAAAGTTATAAATTACGAAAAACATTGAGGAGAATTACGGGAAATCATCACCGCGCCCGCGTTGTGTGTAATTACTGTTAGCATGTATATGGCTTGTAATTTGACAGTGTACAGTGTATATAATAATTACTTCTTATTTCTCTCATTTTTGATCTTCAGCAAATTTGCTCATGTAATTTCCAGAATGGATAAGAAAAAGTGGATGCGCAACTAATTTCTAGCTTTGAATCTCAATTAAGTGTGTTTTAGACAAGAATCCAATGGAATTACCATCAACACATACAACTTACAGCTTAGACCTCCAGTAATGCCATCTCTGAAGCAGATTTTACATCACATCAGAGCCAAACATTGATAACTGAAGCCTCATGACATTTAGTCAACACGTACAACTAAGTCCTAAGTTAACATATTGTAGAAATACCTACATAATGTCAAAAAACAGTAAAATGTCAAAAAATCGATATAACGTCACTTTTCAAGATACGTAATACCCGTGTGGTGCAGACAAACAGAAGTTATATTACTTCTTTTCAAATGAGATTCAATCGTTTCCTCACCCTAAAAGAAAGAAAATATACATAACATAGCAGAGTTATTAAATCAATACGCATCTTCGCCCCCTGTCGGCCATTGCTGAATATAATTTCCAGCAATTCACATTGACCACTTCTGTGTTGGAGTTTTTTAACGGATGGCTCTAGGTTAAGCCGTTTTCCACATTTCTTCAAGGTTTTCAAATTCTAAGGACTTCATAATTTTTAAATTTTGAAGGATTCGAAAATATAAATTTTTTGAGAATAAATCTCGGCACTTTTGAAGCTTTTGGAAATTGCGAAAATCGTGCAAATTTCGAAAAATCTTAATAGCTGTGAACAAATTCTCGTATATGACGCTCCGCTATCTCGTTTCATGTCGGATAATGTTTTGCTAGATTCAGGTAGAATATGATAGTCAATGCCTGTACATGGAATCCTGGACTAAGAAAGACAAAGAAGTAGGAGTGCATCCAAGGGAAGCTCTTCATCTAAATATAAGTCGTTGTCGCTGTCGTGAAGTGTAGTCGTGGTTGTCTTTTTTTAACTAAATGTATTTTTAACTTTCGTCGAGTTTCTATTTTAAAGCACTACACAGCTTCTCCATGCCTTTAATTACTCCGCTATTTATAATTATAAAACTTTGTGTTTTAGTTCCGCCTCTAGATATGCGATGCTTGGGTCAAAAAACTGACAATCTCTTTGTGACTAATACAGATACTTGAACACAATTCTGAGTGTAACTGAACTAAGAAAATTCGAAACTACAAGGCTTAGCTACTATTTCAAGCTGCATGAAATTGTTAGAATAAGCAAAATCTTTCTTGTCTCTGGCAGGCAGGCATTAATACCGGTGTTCCGGTAAGAGCTTATTGATACGATTTTTAAACAAACTTAAATCAATTGGAACGATGGAGCAATCTTACCCGCCAGTTCTAGGTGTATATTTGGAATTTGAAGCGGAAGCCTGGCATTACAGAGAAGCGTTAAGTACATTTTTTTGCCACTGTAGTAATTTATGCAATGAAAAACGTATTTTCTTTAAGTAAGGGATGCCCCATTTATTATCGGTACAGAAGAAGTTTATTTGGTCAAAGGTCATTGACCTTGTTGGCCCGCGTATTCGATATGGTTTCTCTTCTCCAAACGTTCTTTCAACTCACAAATTAGGGTTTCTTCAACTCTTCTTTCTGATTCATTCAATCTGTCTGACCAATTTTTACACTTGTTAAGCACCTGCCCTTTAGTCATAACTGTGCGTTGGAAGCTATGGGAAAATAAGCTCTTGGAAACTTGAAAGACCGGAATAAAATCTAATTAATATATACTAGGGCATACAAGTCAAAAAACTAATATAATAGGGAATGCTCTAGCAGGATTAATGGCTTGATACAATTCTATGGGTAGTAACATCCATCATGCTACGAGGGAAAGACTTTAAGGACACCAGTGGGACTGTATACGGGACGTTCTTTATTACGCCACTTCATAAGCAAGTTGGCCATGATAGACCATGTTTAATGAAGAATACATATAGGAGGACACGAAACGTCAAAGCACATTCTAATAAAAGCATTACAAAATAGTACTGAAAGAAACAATCTAAAACCGCAATCAATCTGATGTGCTACGAAGCATGTCTAGAAAATACAATATTATGCTCATCATGTAAGTAAGGATGGAAACGATTTCGAGATGGTGGTTGTGAGGTGCGATAATTTATTACTGAATCCTAAAAAAACTATTAACAGGCTGACATCTAGGCATATTGCAGTATTATTTTATTAGTACCTATTGGCAACAGAATTCAATCCTCAACCTACTAGAAACAACTTGCATTCTAAATATATTTCCGCTCAAACTATGTTTTCTCCCTTTATCTTTACAAAATATGCGGATTTTCGTAAATCTGTATCTATAGAATGGAAGCTAGGAAAATCCCTACTTCCCTACTTAGCTAACAATAATATATTAATTAATATTAGATAATATTAATAATATTATAAATTAGAAAGTGTTTGTTACCCAATCATGCCAAAATGGATCTGGATGAAATTTGGCAAAGATATAGATTATAGCCTGGAATAGGACATAGGTCATTTTTTATCCTGAAAAATAACTTTGAAATATCTAAACGACCGGCTACAGCTCAAACGGCTCAATGGATTTTGATATGAGGTGTCTGGTGCTAAAGCACTCAGTCACAGGCTCGACCGAAAATACTAAGCTTACCTATATGAGCTAGGCATTTGCATCTTCTATTTACTGTACCGATTTACTGCATTTCTTGATTATTTTTCTTGACACGATTATCTTGACTTTTGATGTTTTTTTACTCAGTACAATACTGTGAATAAATAGTTATTGGGTTACGATTTGTTAAGATACGCCACAGAAGCAGTGAGGCACTTCACTTATTATTTATTGTGATTCGGACTACATATTTGATATCAATTTATTGTTGCATTACAACCAATCTCCTTCACAGTAATGTAAAACGAATGACTTATACTTTACACTGCTTCTACGTGGGCGGAGCATTCACATATTTTTTTTCGATTTTAAGAGAGACAGGTGAGCAGGGAGATGTTTGCGTGTGATTTTGCTCGTATGCTACTTCGCGACGTTTCTGATAGTCCTATGTCGTTAGAAAAAAAGCTGATCTTTAGGTATAATATACACGATAGGCATATTAGATTTCCACATTTGAAAACTAAACCTATTCACTCTACAGCTTTATTTCAGTACAGTGCTGTAGTTTTATACAATGCTTTGACTCCTGAATTTGACAATTGCGTCAAGAAAGCTTTTAAATCTCGAATCAGCTTGGATCCACAGTAAAAAGATGTTGCTCTTGTCTTTGTTTTTAATATATGTTTTCTTCCTTCGTGTTTTGTAAACTTTTGTGAAAAATATATCTTTTATTTTTTGCTTTTGACATATGCTACATAAAACCTTTTATCTTTTTACATGGGTGGTTAAGCGTAAGAGTCGCGTGTTCCTAAAATTCGCTACCATTTTGCAACTTTTTTTTCTGTATTGAATTGTAGTTTCAATAAACACTATTACTGTTATTAATAAGTATTGAGGAAATACTATACCTGTGGTAAGTTTGCTCAGCTTTAGCGATACAGATTTCTAAAATCTTGCATATTTTTCTAGGTAGTATACACATAAATAGAAGAAATACTTTTAGATTTGAACAACAATATTTTCAACTGTTTTAAGTGGAGTGAGGTTTGATTTTGATTTAATCTCAGCCTGTCATTAACTTTTCAAACCTCAAAAATCCCGAGGAAATACAGGTATGTCCAGAGGGAACAACACAGCACTACCTTGTAAAGGTTGACCATCCTGAGGTTTCTCATCTGCACCATGACCGGATGTGTGTTTTCAATGAAGCACACGATGGGAGCCATGATTTCGACGCGCCCGATGGCTCTCCGCAGCGACGCACTCTCTTCCTGCTAGATGCACTCCTCCTTCCTGGAGTCGATGTGCGGACGGCGTTTCCACAAAACTGAACGTCTCCCGAACTCTAACCGCTTGCCGGCCGGTGCTTTCGGCTGTTTACATCGCGGCCATTTTGAATATAAATACCTCGCACTCCACTTCAGGGATAGATAAATAATACAGCTTTTTTCCTGCTCTGGAGAGCGTCACTCGGAGAATTTATTTCTGTTTTCTGTTTCGGTCTTTTTGTCGTCGTCGATATAATTTAACGCTCTATTTCGGAATGCATACAGATTCGAGTGCAGGATGGGCCAAACTATAAACGCAACTGTTTCAGTGCTATTAGCTGGGTGGGCGACGACAGCGCCACCTAGCGGGTGACAGACATAAATAGTTGTGCTTGACACGTGCGATATGAAAATGAAATGATATTTATGAAAATGTCAGATATTTAATCTGAACATGCTGCTTTCTACTACTAATACCATGCTTCAGTCTGCTATAACGAAAGAATCGTCAGCCTGTTTAGGTCACAGTGGTGACTGGGCTATTAAAAGCGATCTGAGATCTTTACAGATCCAATGGGAAGTTTCTGTACATTCGCAGTGGTCGATTCCAGTAATGGATGATGCTTGCGTTGTCTTATTTCCGCAGTCATTGCAAAAATAAAATTTCAAAGTTCTACCTATTCCGTCACGCCAGCTGTGACTCCCCTATACAGAGGGTTTCGTTGGGAGCCAGAAATATTCTAACCATGATTATGGGTTACCAAGTACTTATGCTTGAGTATTTCACTTGATCACCATAATTGATCCATTTTACAGCTAATATACCAACAACCGAGCTTCTCGCGATAATCACAGATGAAGCTGAGGAGTTCGAAGCGCGTCACATACTCCCGACCATTCACGAATGAAGGGCCGAGTCCCGCCGGACTCTCGATTCAAATAAACAGTTTAACTGTTTTTAATAAAGTGTTTAATTGTTTTAAATGTACCTTTTCTACGGAAACTCAATTACCCAGACTAACTAAACATGGTAATAAGACGGGTACATGGTTTGCTATTTTCAAGCAAATTAGTTTAATAGTATATTACTTTCAATTAAACTGGTTCCAGAAAATTCAGTTTAATTAAACCAAATGATGTATTTACTTGAAGTCATTAAACAATTTATTACGGGTAATGGAAATGTTTCAGAACAACTGCAAATGCCCTTGTCATTCCGGGCGGACCAGCGTCTCGACTGACCTCATTTCAAACTCTGTAGTTCTTCAAATAAAAAAGAATTTCAAAGTTACTTTCTGAAGCGAATTTTATCCAGATCCGGTCAGCCATTTTGACGTGATTGACTAACAAACATCCACGCCTTATCATTTATAATACAGAATGCTAAATTTCTAGGGACTTTAAAAACATGCCGCTATGGATATCAATCTCATAGTTCAAACGACTGTTTGTACCCTTTACGATTTTTCTATAAAACAGCCTGTACAGTGAAAGATGAAGCAGCAACGCTTTAGCTGTAACGCGGCGGCGTCGAGGCTATTATTTAATATTGAGAGGAGGATAATATTAGCGCGGTTGGACCTAGATCATTCTATGACGTACACTGGCTCTATATTGTTTGTTTTTAGGAAATTCAAGTATTTTAGTGTGCGCGATGACCCAAAAATTAACGTTCAAAGAAGAAACTGAATCAAATAACGTGAAAAATGTGTACAGCGGTTACTTGAACAGCTATGACGCCGTCTAAAAAGAGTTCCAATGCGGAAGCTCTGTATTCAGCCATTGTTTGATGAACAATCGAAAGCTGCAGGATTTAGGATATTGTTTACTCGACCATACCGCCTTCTTTTAAGTTGGCACCCTGAGACTTTCCTCTATTCGCAGAGATAAATTTCTTTCTGGGAAGAGTTTCAGGTCCAATGATGGATTTGAGCTATAAGTAGATAAATATTTTGACAGCTTATCAGATTTCCACTGCCGAGAAGGAATTACAATCTTAACGTTAGATTAAAGGGATTGTGTGAGAAAAATGGCGAGAAGTAGGTTGATTCTGCACTTTCCACGCAACGCCATTATCAGTTCATAGAAGATTATATTATGTTCAGCACAAATTAGACCTGAAAAAAGAGTCAGTGAAACAGGTCTATACAATTAGTCAATAGATATTCTTCCCCTGTCCTTCCGGTAGTGGAAACGTGGCCTCTCGCTGATCTTAACCCGGTAAGACGTGACAGCACATAGGAAACACTATGCTGTGGCTTGGCAGAAATACGGGTAATACCATCCAGAACAATATAGTACTCACCTTGTGTTGAAAGCATACGAACTTTATTTTGGAATTAAAGTTGGCGACCAAGATAAACTATGGGCCCCTCATATATGTTGTAAGGCTTGTATAACGTTGTTAACAGGTTGGTTAAGAGGCGACAATCGTAAAATACCTTTTGCGGTACCAATGGTTTGGAGAGAACCGAGAGACCATACTAATGATTGCTATTTTTTCCTCACAGATATTAAAGGTATTGGACCAAAATCGAAACATACTGTTAAGTATTTTAATTTACCATCAGATTTGCGGCCCGTTAAGCATAGTGATGGACTTTCTGTCCCAGTTTCACCAGAATCTTGGTCTTTGGATGAAAAAGTCGAATCCACCGATTCAGAAAGTGATGGTACAGAAAGCGTAAAAATTTCCGATCCTTCGTTTGACCTGCCAGGATGTTCAACAGCGCCGCATTTGATCACACAGGGCGAACTTAATGACTTATTTCGATAATTAAATCTGTCACAATCCTAGTCAGAACTTTTAGCGTCAAGATTAAAAGGATGGAATCTTCTCCACGGTGATGTTAACATTACTTTTTACCGAAAACGGCAAGACCTCACTCACTGTTTCCGTCAAGAAAGTTGATATATTGCTCCGATGTCAATAATTTGTTTGGCGCGTTAGGACAGATCCAAATGATTGGCGCCTGTTCATTGATTCCTCTAAGCTTAGCTTAAAAGCGATATTGGTACACAACGGCAATAAATATCCATCTGTTAGAGCATATCCGTTATAATGAATATGGATGGGCCATATGTGCAGATTTAAAGGTAATAACCTTTCTTCTTGGAATGCAACTGGGATATACCAAATACTGTTGTTTTCTTTGTGAATGGGGCAGTCGTGCGCGAGATCGTCATTATGAACAGAAGGAGTGGCCACTACGTCAGGTATTAACTCTGAGCCCCAAAAACTTTGCTCATGAACCACTAGTTGATCCCAAAAACGTGTTGCTTCCACCTTTGCATATTAAGTTGGCACTGATGAAGAATTTTGTGAAAGCTATGGATCGAAATTAAAGAGGGTTTCTGCAGTGAGGCAAAAATTAAAGAGGACATATTTGTGGGTCCACAAATACGGAAAATCATGAAGGAAGTATTTGACAGTGCTCTAAATGAAATTGAATTACGAGCTTGGAATGCTTTTAAATCAATTACTGCAAATTTTTTAGGCAATGTGAAGGCGGATAATTAAAGATATTGCGAGTGAACTAATTAATGCTTACAAAGGAATGGGATGTAACATGTCTCTCGAAATGCACTTTTTGGATTCTCATCTCGATTTTTTTCGGGAAGGTGCTGTAGGTGATGAACAATGGTGAACGGTCCACCAAGACATTTCTGCTATGGAAAAACGGTATCAAGGCAAATGAAGTGTCAATGTGCTTGCTGATTATTGCTGACTGTTAAGAGATACTTCATTAGCAACATATCGCCGTAAAACATCGACAACAACATTCTGAGATTAATATTTATTCGAGTGTTTATTAGTACCCTTACACACATATTTTTATATTTTACGAGTATACGCAGCAAATAAAATGCCTTATTGCAAGAAAACCGTGGGGGATAGAAAAAATCGAATGCTATTTCCGGCTTTTTGGGTACGTTTTACATAATAACCACCTTGTTTTGTCCATGTCACTAAAAATTATTTCAATTTTGTTCACCAGTGTTAGCAGGCATACCGACAGATCGACGGAAATGAGTGATATTGTTTTTCGTGATGTACAGTCATACAACATTCAAAAAACGTAATATACCTTTTTCGAAAATTTTCGCGAAGTAAGTAGTAGTAAAATGAAATTCTTAAACTGCAAATCGCAGTATCTTATTATCAGACCGACCCCTTTTCTCGCTACCCTCGTACTCCCTAACAATACACGTGCGCCATATAATTTTGCACAGGAGTATACATACATACATCTCAACAGTGGTCATTTTATTTGCGAAACCGAATATATTTATATACATGTTAAATATCAAAGAAAGTGTAGTGCAAATGGTTTCGGATGCGGTCCAAGTAGCGCATTACACGCCAGGACGGATCCAGATCCCTTTGAAATGCGCACCGCGACTGATCGCTGCTCGTTTGTTACTTTCCATGAAAACGCGGAAAATCTGCTGGGAGCAGTTGCCTGGTGTAATTGAGGCGAATCAGGGAACTTAAAATCAATCATCTCAGCTGTAAAAAGTGGCATCAAGTAGGTTGACTCTGCGCTTATAGCTCTACGCTGTCATCAGTTCATAAACGATTATGTTCAGCACGTTAGACCATTTGAGTAAAAAGTTAGTTACAAACATGTATAACAAGAGAGATTAAATAAATCAAGTCAGTAAAACAGGCCCGTATAACTCTTTCCCTACCCTACCGGTGGTTAATGTCCATTTGGCAACGTTACGCTTTCCACATCTGCGTGGCATCGCTGCAGCGAGTTGCTGATTCTGGGCGTGATTAAATATACTAACAACAAAACATTTTCGTATACTCTCTCCCACCCCTTACAACCCCAAACTCCGAATTTCAACTCCTACAAATGTTTTTCTGAAAATGACCGGGAACCTCTGAGACGTCAAAAAAGGAGTTTGAGCGATTTGTATTTTTTTCTGTTTTCGGCCCCAACCTCCGCAGCAGTAATGATAGGCATTAGAGAGCAGAGCAGAAACGCGTATCGAAACCATTTCTGTATCATGTTCCCCGACATGGGCATCTGCCTTACATTTAACTGTAACTTTATGTGATTGTACTGAAACTGTTATTAAATAAAAAATATTAGTCACAAAAAATTGCGTAAAAGTATCAATAATTCAAGGCATATTTTCAACAAAAATATCATACAAACGTAAACAATTCGATGAATCAGTTGCGGTCGTCGTGCGCTCATATCGCGGTTGCGTTACAGCGTTGCCAAATGTTTGAGAAAATTTAATTATTTACGACTCACTTTCCTCGAAAACGATTGATTTTCAGACATAATTTATAATTAAATTTTTGCTTAGAATAATGCAAGGAATCACCTCTTAAAGTTACGAATATTATTTCTCTAACACCCTGTATAAGACGAACGGTGTAATAGGAAAGTAATTTTATCTCACTACAGCATAATTTGAAAAATCTTCATGTTTTATCCTTGTTCCGTTTTATAAGCTGCGTAAAAATTTAACCACACACCCTGTATCATAGTAACAGCAACATTTTTTGTTATATTTAGATGTACTTCCCGCTTTAGGAATATTACTATTGACTTTTTTATCACCGTGCGTTCTTGTACGTACGTTCGTCCATGTCTCCAGTTTAACAGTTCTTAACGGTCTGCCGGCATATCACATCAAATGTAGCAACACTTGCAGATACATGGCATCTAAATGTTTGGATAATAAGGATATTCACCTGAGACGAGAGGTAGTTGGTGCGTTTCAGGAACGGTTACGTTTATGCCATGACTACACGCACTGTTTCACACATCGGACATTGCATTGGCGTAGACTTCAGCAGGGTTATTTCGCAAAGAGCCTATATAATGTCAAAACAAAACGACAAAATACCAACTTGCTGAATAGATAGCATAGTTCATTCCACTCTTACTCGCTATGTGCGTTTGTGAGCGTCACTCACAGAGCCCCCTATGGAGGAATGACTCAACGACATTCTCAACAACCAGGCTACAAGTCAGTTCACAAGCATGCTTCGTTGGTTGCAGACTCCAGATATAGTCTGTAGAGTATATACCTGAGATCTGACAGAAGGAAAATGGATTGAGTAGCAAGATTGCCCTTGGGTGATTGTGTGTATTGGTCTGTATATGTATAGAATCAGTGATATTTGGTATGTGAGAAAATTATTACTAAATATGCTGCCTAAGAAGAATATCTAGTAGATGTACCGGACGGGTTGTTTGTGTTGCCCTCTATGAAAAGAGGTTATCTTCAAAGCTATAAATTACGATTTTTTCCTTTTTTGTGTTTTCAAAAACTTTAAGATGCTTTACGGGAAATCACCACTGCGCCCACGTTATGTGTAATTAAGCCGCATCACAGGAAAATTATGAATGACACATCACACAAAACATTTTCGCAGTGCTTCACATCTAGGCGCTGATTTGTTTTTTTCCGCTTGACATCGCTAAATTTAAATGACTGGAAATAAAAAATAATGTAAAATGTTATAACCTTTTCACGTTTCATAAATATTCCTTTTTGTAGCCTATTTGCTCACCTGTTAAATGTAATATTATACTCCACCAAACATCGATTTTAATTTTTATCTCTCTCATTTTAGAAATTCGGCACATTTTCATCTGTAATTATACATCTCAAGATACATATGTATGTTACAAGAAGGCAAAGGAATTACCATCAACACAGATTGTTAGCACACAAGTCCTCACTAAGCACCTATGCACTGGTGTTTCGCCCGTTTCCTTCCAGCTTACAACTTACAACTTACAGCTTAGGTCTCCAATAACCTACATGATAGCTCAAGCGTCATAACGTTTATTATGCATCACATACACCTACACGTCTGCATATCTAGTAAACAACAGCTAGTTCCAAGTTGACATCTTATCGGAAAATCTACATAAATCATAAAAATCTATAAAATGTCAA